GAGGCAGGCAGGCAGAGGCAGTTAGGGGCGATCAGGCAGGCAAGCAAGTGAGCGGTTAGGAGCCAGCAGTCCCAGATTCCGAGAGGGATGTCCCTGTGGGATTGGGCCCAAACTGGCAGTCGGACATCCCCCAAGGGGTCCTGCATTAGAGAGGGTGCAGGCTGGGCTGAGGGACCCCCCTCCTCTTGCACAAATTTTTGTGCACTGGGCCTCTAGTGTGTGTGCGTGTGTGTGTGTGTGTGTGTGTATAAGTGCTGTAGAAAAAAAATAAACCGGGAAAGAGAGATAGAGGATGTTATACAGTACTATGGGTAGAGTAGGGGAGAGGTCAGTGCTATTTAGAAAAAGATTCTTTGTCAAGGTGATATGTCAGTATGGCTAAAACTGATATTGGGAAGGAAAACACTGCAGGCAGAGAAGAGAGCAGGAGCTTGGCGTGTGTGAAGAACGGCAAGGAGGCCCCTGCCGCTGCAGCAGAGCGAACAGTGGGAGAGCAGGAGACAGGTCAGAGCAGCGAGGTCAGGGAAGCCGAACAGGAGAGTGGGTAGGGCCTTACAGGCTTTTGTAAAGATTTTGGCTTTTCCTTTTCCTTTGAGTGAAGCCAGAAGTCACTGGAGGGCTTTAAGCAGAAGAGGGACATGATCTGACTTAAAAAACTTAAGGATCACTCAGAGCAGTTATCTGTTTGGGTAAATAAAGTTTCTTTGAAACACAGCCTCACCTATTTGTTTTTGTATTGTCTAGGACTGCAAGAGTTGAGGAGCTGTGACATAGACTATACAGCTCCCAATCCAAATTATTTACTATCTGGCTCTTTACAATAAAAGTTTGCAGAACTTTGACTCAGGGGAATGCACTTTAATGGGGCTGGGCAGATGCAAGGAGTTCAAGTAGGAGATTTAGTGTAACAATCCAGGTGCGAGAGGGTAGAGGCTTAAACCAAAATGATAGCAGTGGTTGTTATAAGTGATCGTATTCCGCATACTACATTGAAAGTAGCGACAAACGAATTTGACAGGGAGCACCTACTAAGTGCAAAGCACTGTGCTAGTTTCTATAGTGCAGTAGTTGCCCACTTTTAGATTTCAAAGAAGTTAAACATTTTTAAGAATAAATAAGAGAGATTGGAGGAGACTAAAATATAGTTTCCAAATTTTATTTTACTGAACAAGGATGTTGAAGATACTACTTGCCATCTGCTATCACCACCCTTTCTTAAAAGAAGGGATATTTTAACACTAAGAAAAGTAAGGAAGACATAATCTAAGATTAAAGAAATGCACTCAGAATTAAAGACTACACGTTAGGGAAAATTTACTACACGATCCTTGTGGGTTATAGACATTTTGGGGGGAAAAGACTGCTGGAGGTACACTAAGATAAATGCCCTAAAATATTTGTTTAAATGTATATATTGGAAAGGCCAGGTCCAGTAAAGAAAATAGGACCTATGCAAAATTAGGTAAAACTCAGAGTAGAAAGTGGTGGGTACCATAGAAGGGAAGTTCAGCAGTGAGTTCACTCACAGCAGAGAGAGCCCGAGATGGCCCCCCAGAGCCTACAAGGATGTTGAGGGGGACTTGGAAATACAGAGATGAAGAGGTCCAGAAGCAGAAAAACCACAGAGACAGGAAGAGGGTGGAAGGGAAATCAAAGAGGGAGGAAGATAAATCACTTGGCCGGAGTGTTTCTCCTTCCTCTAAAAAGGGGCCGGAATTATTTACTTTAAGGGGTTCTATCGGCTCTTCTCCTGACCTCAGTTCTTGCTTTAATTGAGCAGTTACTTTAGCCAATGAGAAGATTAGGGAATGAGGCTTAGGTAGATTCCTTCCCACTCTGTGCCTCAAAACACAACATTCTCAGATACTACGGAGAGATTTTCGTTTCCTAAGTACCAGGAAAATTAAGTTTTCAACCAAGATGATTAGAAACTATGACGGTATAACCTAGAGCGTTTAGGTGAGCAGGTCTGGGGGAAACCCCGCCCTTATCCTAAAAGACTTGTCTCTGAGAAGCAGGGAGCTGCCTGCGTAAATGCTCCCTGGGCTTTGGCCTCTATCAGATTACGACTTCAGACAAGTTACTTAACCTCCCCCCGCCCCAGTACCCTCATCCGGAGGCGAGCAGTGACCCCTTAACAAGGTTTCTGTGAGGATTAGTAGTAGTGAGCACAAATGTCTAGGACACAGTAGGGCTTCAGTCAGTGGCAGTCCTTATTTTCCCGGGCATGGATTCGTGTAGCGTTTGTGATTGCAATTTGTTGGAAAGGGGCTCGGGGATGACTGGAAAAGACCCAACGGAAGCATGAGATTTTCTCGGATTCGCTGGTGAAAAAGAGGGAAACGGCCCCTTTGCAACGTTAGGCACCCATGGCTCCTGCACACGTTCCCCACCTTTGATCGGCCCGCGTGTCTTTCTCACGCTTGCAGTGGAACCTGAGGTCAAGTACGTGGGGAACATGCACGGCAACGAGGTGCTGGGCCGCGAGCTGCTGCTGCAGCTGTCGGAGTTCCTGTGCGAGGAGTTCCGGAACGCGAACCCGCGCATCCTGCGGCTGGTCCAGGACACGCGCATCCACATCATGCCGTCCATGAACCCGGATGGCTACGAGGTGGCGGCCGCCCAGGTACCGAGCTGTGCAGAGAATAGGGCCATCTTAAGGGATGAAGTAAAAGCCGGGAGACAATGTGTCCTCTCGGTGCCACTGTAAGAAATATAATAAAGTATGAAGGTTTGGGCTCAGGGCTCTAAAACCCTATGCAATGAATGTGGGCTCTCTGGGAATTTCAGTTCCATCAGCACCTTTCCAGTGGACCCCCTGTTTTGTTTTGTTTTTCTTTTATATTTTTATTGATTTCGAAGAGGGAGAGGGAGAGAGAGATAAACATCAATGATGAGAGAGAATCATGGATTGGCTGCCTCATGCACGCCCCTCGCTGGGGATTGAGCCTGCGACCCGGGCATGTGCCCTGACCGTGACCTCTTAGTTCATAGATCCACCCTCAGCCACTGAGACACGCAGACCGAGCTGACCTGCTGGTTTTATTGGAAAGGTCAATGAGGCAATATTTGTGAGGACACTTTGTAAACTGGAAAATACTATGCAGGCATGAAGGGACATTGCAAAATAGACCCCCTTCCCTGAACTTTTAGCTTCGAGCCCTAACTGCTCTGCATTTGCGTTGGGGTTGGGGTGGTGTTGGAGGGGGGGTTATCAGAGAGATCAAGCTTTTCCCAGAACTGTGAAGTGAGGAGTTAATTTTAGATTCTTCATACTTTATTTCTGTAGGTTTTTTCCCCCCTCTCCTAGTATAGTATTCAACTTTTTAATTATTTTAGAGTTTCATTTGCAGGGGAGGAGAGAAGAAGAAAAATGTCTGTGGATTTTTACTTTATGAACATAAACTCAAAATGTCAGTGTGCCTCACTTCAAAGCGGCAGTTCTTTTGTGGCTGTGCATTAAAGTCATAAGTGAATATTCTGAAATACAGAGTCCACCCCCTTCCCGCAAGTGAACTAGAATATTCAAGGGCAAAGCCAGACACCTGCCTTACGCAATGATCACGTTCCTTTGAAAGCGATGTTGGAACCTGATTGTTTTGGGGGAAAGTCAGGGGTTAGGGTGTAAAGTTTTTTTAAATTTAAAAATATGTTTATTTGGGGCAGACTTGAATTTTTTTCATTTTATAAACTAGAATTCACTGCTTTACTTAATTTGTTTTATTTTATTTTAGTGTGGTAAAAACACTCAAGATGAGATCGACCCTCTTAACAAAATTGTAGGTGTCCAGTACAGTATTGTTAACTATAAGCACAATGTCGTACAGCAGATCCCGGCACTTACCCCTCCGGCTCAACCGAAACCTAATGCCCATCGTTGAGTAGTGCCCACTCCCCCTCCCCCAGCCCCTGGCAGCCACCCGCCACTCTGCTTACGTGAATCTGACCACGCTGTCCCGCACAAGCAGGACCACACAGTACCTGTCCTTTCATGACCAAGAGTGTTGTAAGCAGGGTAGGGCTGGGGGGTGAGCAGAGACAGGATGGGGAATGGAGCCAAGATATTGAACTCAACACAAATTTGACCTTTGCGATCTCCCAACTTCCTGCTGGTGTGATGTAACCAATGAAGCAGCAAAACCTTTTCCCTTCACTGGAAATCAGAGAGGTGCCTTGAGACCTGAGTTTCCAAAAGAGCAGAAACATTTGAAAGAGTTGGGGAGGGGGTGGCACCCCAGCCTGCCTGCTCTCCTTCTCTTGACCCTTCCCTGCCCACATCTTTTGTGGGATGAAGTGGGGGTGGGAGGAAGTGGGGGAACCCCGCCAGCTCTCTAAATCCTATGGGTATCTTTGGGGAGCCAGTCCCTTTTACTTGCCTGCTGTGCACTTGTTCAGAAGGAGCAGAGCTTGAACCTGAACCCAAAGAGGACCCAGCAGGCTATCACACTCTCAGAGTTACCCGCCATGCCCAGGAGAAACCTGTCTGCGTGGAAGACCAGCCTGGCCACCAAACTTTAAAGCCAGCTTTGGCCCTAACCGATTTGACTCAGTGGATAGAGCATCGGCCTGCCGACTGAAGGGTCCCGGGTTCGATTCCGGTCAAGGGCACATGCCCAGGTTGTGGGCTCGATCCCAAGTAGGGGGCGTGCAGGAGGCAGCCAATCAATGATTCTTATCATTGATGTTTCTATCTCTTTCTTCCTCTCCCTTCCTCTCTGAAACCATCTAAAAAAAAATTTTTTTTTTAAAAAAAGCCAGCTTTGGGAAAGGCAGAATAATGCCCCTTCCACTCCCTCAAAGATGCCCAAGCCCTAATCTCAGGAACCTGTGAATGTGCTATGTTACATGGCAAGGGGGGATAAAGGTACTGATGGAATGAAGGTTGCTAAACAACTGACCTTAATATCCGGGGCTATTTGCGTGGGCCCAGTGTCACCAACCACAAGTCCGTTGGGTGTGGAAGAAGGAGGCAGGAGGTCAGAGTCAGAGATTTGGAGATGTGATGCTGCTGCCTTTGAAGGTGGAAGAAGGGATCATGAGCCCAGGAATGCGGGTGGCCTCTGGATGTGGCACGGATTCCCCCGGCGCCTGCGGAGGAAACAGCCCTGGTCTTAGTCCCGTGAGACCCATTTCAGTCTTCTCTCCACAACTCCAAATATAATGAACTTGTGCTATTTTAAGCCACTAAATTAGTGACAAGTTGTTACAGCAATAACAGGAAACGAATATACCACCAGCCCTGTTTATGGGAACCTTCCGTTAAGGGAGTTCCTTACCTGCCTGCTTAGCTAACGGCCCCATGTGAGCAGTAACACCGATAGGTAAATTAACATAGCTGTTCATAGGAACAGATAAGAGCTAGCTGATACTAATAGCAAAGTAGAGAAAAGCCCCTAGAGGCATAAGAAAACATCATTATCTCATGAAGTGAAAAATCAAACTCCAAACTGAAAAATCAGATAAGTGTTTTCCACTGGACAACATTGATGTAGGAAATGTTAGAGAACTTCGAAAAACATTATGTTCTCAATGAGATCTAAGGATAAAATATAAGCAGGATGCCATGAAAATGAAGAAATCTGTGAAAAATAGATTTCTTGGAAAGATAGAGCCTGGTAGTACCTTTGTGAGTGTTTAGCTGCCCAGCACTGAACCATTCTCCTTCCTTCTAGGAATAACCACCACATGGGGCTCTACTCTCTGTCAGCAGGGCTCAGTGGACACGATTCCCCTTCTCCAAGGCCACCTAGAACATTACATGGAATTTATTTTAGTTATTTATATAAACATCTGTCTCCCCAGATATACTGTGAATTCTTAAAATGTTAAAATAATGTCTCATTATCTTTCCCCTGTATCTATCAGAGATGGACTTAAATAAGTGTTGGTTAACTAGGTGGATGGATGGATGAATGAATGAATGAATGAATTCATGACCAAATAAGTGATAAAGTCTGAAGCTTGAGGTTGATATTATTCAGAAGAAAGATAAGCAAGTGTACTAACTTTTAGAAGTGATGGTGGGGGTTTCCATGGCACAGGCAGTTTAAAAAAACAGTTTAGCTATTTCTGCAAAAGTTAAATATAGACTTACCTTATGACCCAGCAGTTTCATTAGGTATCTGCCCAAGAGAAATGAAAACATAGATTCACGCAAAGAATTGTACATACGTGTTCATAGCAGCATTATTCATGATAGCCCCAACGTGGAAACAACCCAAATGTCCATGTACTGGTTGAAAAAGTATCCCCCCAAATTCATGTCTACCTGGAACCTGTAAATGTGACCTTATTTAAAAATAAGGATCTTGCACATGTAATCAAGTTAAGATAAAATCATACTGGATTAGGGTGGACCCTATATCAAATATGCCTGTTGTTCTTAGAAGAAGAAAGAAATTTGCCTGGCTGGTGTTGCTCAGTGGCTGAGCATCGACCCATGCAACCCCATGCACCGAGAGGTCACCTGGATTCCGGGTCAGAGCACATGCCCTGTTTCAGGCTCGATCCCCAGTAAGGGGCATACAGGAGGCGGCCAATCCATGTTTTTCTCTCTCATCAATGTTTCTATCTCTTCCTTGTCTCTCTCCCCTCCTCTCTCTTTCTCTCTCTCTAAAAAAAAAAACAATAAAATCATTTTTTTAAAAAAAGAAGAAATTTATATAGAGACATAAACAGATGGGGAGAAGGCTATACGAAGACGGAAGCAGGAATTGGAGTGATTTATCTGCAAGCTAGGGAACAGCAAGGGTTGCTAGCAGCCACCAGAAGCAAGAAGAGACAAAGAAAGACCGTCCCCTGAACCTTTAGGAAGCATGGCTAGATTTCAAACTTCTAGCCTCCAGAATTGTGGGAGAACAAATTTCTGTTCTTATAAGCCACATAGTTTGTGGTAATTTGTTATGGCAGCCCCAGACAACTGGTACAGTCTATTAGTTGGTGAATGGGTAAACAAAATGTGTTAAATATAATGGAGCTAACCTGTATAATAAAAGCATAGTGTGCAAATTATCCCCTCGAACGGGAGTTTGTCCAGGAGTTTGACCAGGGGGTGGGGCTGGCTGGGGGAAGGGAGGGAGGTCCTGGCCAGCAGCCACTAGAGACTCTATCAGTGCAGAATTTCGTGCACTGGGCTTCTAGTTCACCAATAAAAAGGAATGAAGTACTAATACATGCTACAAGATGAAGGAAACTGGAAAACATTATCTAGTGAAAACAGCCAAACACATAATGTATGATCTCACATATGTGAAATGTCCAGAAAAGGCAAATCTACGAGGGTTAAAGTAAAAATACAGAGTGACTGTAAAAGGGCATGAGGGTTATTTTTAGGGTAATAAAAATGTTCTCAGATTAGATTGTGGTGATGGTTGTACAGCTCTGTCAACATCCTAATATTAATTGAATTGTATACTTCAAATGGGTGACTTTTATGATACATAAGTTTTATCTCAGTAAAGCAGGTTTTTTTTTGTTTTGTTTTGAAGTAGGGGTTCTTCAAATACAGGATTTAGTCTGAAACCTTCCTTTTCCCTCTCTCCATTTCCCCACGAGGGCCCAGACGCTTCTGGATATCTGGTTGGCAGAAACAATGCAAATGGCGTGGACCTGAACCGCAACTTCCCCGACCTCAACACCTACATCTACTACAATGAGAAGTACGGAGGCCCCAACCACCACTTGCCCCTTCCAGACAACTGGAAAAGCCAGGTACGGGAGAAATTCACATACAGAAGCAGGTGCATCCACACCTGGAATTTCCTCTGGAAATCTTCACATCAACTAAAGAGGCGAGAACAAGGCATCAACTCAGCCCCATGTTAGTGTGCCCAGAGCAGGAAGAACTGCCTCTTCGTATTGATTCCCTCACCCAGCACAGGGACCTCCCAGGGGCACCTGCTCACAAAATGTTTGATGTTAGTGGCCATGGTAGTGAGGGACGTGAAAGCGGTGTCATACATTGCACAGTATTTTATAAAATTATTTCAGTTGATCACCGTAACACTGTGTGGCGAGTGCATCCCTCAGTGTTACCCATCTCTGTTTTAGAGATTTTACGCTTGTAGAAAAAAATAATTTCAATTCTCACAGCTGTAATTGATGGAATCAGGTTTAAAACCCAGGTCTCCCCACTCATCCAACATTCTTTCTACTGCCCTGTACTTGACACAGAACTCTAGCTGTCTATAGAGAAAGCTCTCTTGCATGTGGACTGTGTGCTCATCAGCAATGAGCTATAGAGAGAAATTCAGAGAGTCTTAGCCAGAATCGAAGCCGGGACCCTTCAGTCCGCAGGCCGAAGCTCTATCCACTGAGCCAAGCTGGCCGGGTGAGAGAGTCTTTCTCTTATGCATAGTTTTTCCTCCTTCCTTTCCATATGAGCGCTAACTACTTTACCGTACTCTCGTTTCCCTTACTCTCCACTCAGAGGATCCCATTCGATGGTCCCAGACCTTTCTCCCCAGGAGGCCTGTCGTGTACCCCTGGTACTGTGAATGCTTTCATCCCGCAGGTGCGCCTGCTCCTGAGACACATTAACACCACATAACCTCTAGGCACGTCCGCCCCGAGGGGAGGAAAAACAGGGAGGATGTAAATTACTGCAAGTCCAGGGGATGCGTGGCTTTCCTTGGAACGCCATCACTCATTAGCCCTGTAATAAGCATCAGTAGGGTGGGATTTTGCTTCTTAGCCAAGCCTGGCCCATGTTACACTGTTCTCACCCATGGAATTGGGGTGTGACCGTGTCACCATCACAGCAGATGTGTTAGGGAAAGGAGGTTGGCACCTTTACTGCAAACCAGTGTTTTCCACATTTATTCACCAAAACCCGAATTTCTGCAAAGGTGCCTCCGAAGCCCTACTGAAGCAGTGGGTGAATTGGAGGGCTCTTCCCTGGGGGAGGGGTCAAGCTTGTGCTCTTCTCTCTCTCTCTCTTTCATTCTCTCTCTCTACTCTCTCACTCTCACTCTCCTCCCCACCACTCTCTCACATAGACATTATTTTTAGAGCAGTTTTAGGTTCACAGCAAAATTGAGTAGGAACTACAGAGAGCTCCCATATACCTCCCCGTCCCCACCCCCCCGCCCCCCGCTTCCCATCATGAACATACTGCACCAGAGTGGTGCATCTGTTACAAGTGACGAACCTACCTTGACTCATCGTTATTATACAAAGTCCATAATTTACATTAGCGTTCACTCTTCATGTGTACATTCTATGCATTCGGGCACATGTATCCTGCCATGTATCCTACACAATGATTTCACTAAAAGCTCTCTTTTTATCTGTTTTATATATTAGGATTCCATATAAGATTTCATTTTGAAAAAGGGCTCCATCAATTAATTTTTTTAAGACAATCTTTTTAAAATTATTGTTACTTGGGGAGGGGAGGGGAGAGAGAAACATTGATTTGTTGTCCACTTACTGATGCACTTACTGGTTGCTTGTTATGTGTGCCCTGATCAGAGATTGAACCTGCAACCTTGCTGTATGAGACAATGCTCTAACCAACTGCGCTACCTGGCTAGGGCCATCCACTTCATTTTTTAAAACCATCACGCAAAAGGTCACAATTTCCCCACCTACACTTTCATACCCGGTAGGACCTGTCTTATTCGGACATGCCGTCTCCTCAGGCCAGTTACTGACAGACTTATTCAGACGTCTCCCATCTCTCCTCAGGTGGAACCTGAGACGCGGGCCGTCATCCAGTGGATACGCTCCCTCAACTTTGTCCTCTCAGCCAACCTCCATGGGGGGGCAGTGGTGGCCAACTACCCGTATGACAAGTCCCTGGAGCATCGGTTCCGGGGTTACCGCCGCACTGCCAACACCCCCACGCCCGACGACAAGCTTTTCCAGACGGTATGCAGAGCGGTGGCCTGTCCAGCTGGGAACGTGGGACTCACGAGAGTGACTCAGGCCAAGTCGGTAACACAGGACCCTGGTCGGTACAGACCACAGAGAGTAACGGACAGCCCTGCCTGCTCATTAGGCGCTGACAAACTGCATTTTGTTTTGAGTGATAAGCCAAAGTGTCATGAAAAAAATAAGCATATAGGAAAGCTTTATAGTATAATTACCACAGTGCAAAAAAAGTTCTTAAGCTAATGACAAGCAAAAACTATGCTGGTGGTAAGCGAGTGGCATTAAATGTGAATTTGGGGGGCTCTAATTTGCAATTTTATGATAGTAAGGCTATATTAATGAAAAATAGACTATGCACATAGTTCAAAATAGCAATAGAATAAAATTAACATTATTTTATTAATATATTATTAATAACATAATTTATATAACAATAATATTTATTATTACAATTATAACATTAATGGTTAATTATCAATTAATGAATTACATAGAGAATAATACCAGTTTCTGCTTTGCAAAGCAAGTATATCTCATTTTTTTCACTGATATAAAATAGTAATGAAAGAGAATTAATAGAGATTCTAAATATATTCCTTTCCTAACACACAATTCACCCTCAAAATAGTTTTTTCCTGACAAAGTCCTATCTTACTTGCTTCTTTCTTTTACAAAACTCAGCTAGAAAATGGAACACCAAAAATGGATTAAGGAGTACAAACTGTCAGTTATAAAAACAGTCACCGGGATGTACAGCACAGCGTAGGGAATACAGTCAGTAATATTGTAATAACTATGGATGTGCCAGGTGGGTCCTAGACTTCCCGGGGTGATCACTTCATGAGGGATAGAAATGCCTAATGTCTAACATTATGTCGTGCATCTGAAATATAATATTGTATGTAAACTGTAATTGAAAAATAAATTTTAAAATATAAAAATAAATAATTATAAAAAAAGAAAGTGTACACCTGGAAGGGAACTTATACATCATCTAGTGCCACCCCTCACTTTGCACTTGGAGAGATGTAGTCCCAAGATAGTGGAAAATCAGATTTCAGGTTGCTTAACTATAATCCGCTGCACACACACACTCACACATGCCATCTCTATCTTGGCTGGTATTTTCTTCCACTAAAGCAAATAATCGGTAGTTTATACCTAGTGGAGTTCTTGGCTTTACGCAACTTCTAAGTATGAACATCGCAGTGTGAGTTGGGAACGCTCATGGTCATTTCTGCCCCCTTTCCATA